GAGAGAGAGAGAGAGAGAGAGAGAGAGAGAGAGAGAGAGAGAGAGAGGAATTTCATTAATCAGCACAGGTTCCTGACTCCCTGAACCAAGGGTAGGGACCATCCCACCCCAGGATATCCCAGCAACCAGGCTTCTCCATTTATACAAACGTACTGTGACACTCAAGAGGACCCCACCCCACTAAAGTTGGTGTCGTGCCTGGGCCATGGGACAACACAGGGTCCATGGGGCAACAGGCCTAATCCTCCTTGGACTGGGACATCATGGGGACACATGGGGCTCGGTCGGTCCTGTTACCTGGCACTCGCAGGTCTCAATCCCTAACTATGGAAGCAGCACGGAGCAGGGACAGAAAGGAGAACACGGATCAGTGTGTGTGTGGGCGCTGGCAGATGGACAGATGGACAACGAGTCTGGGGGCAATGAGCGGGAGGAATACATGGGAAGCAGGCAGACTCCCTCCCGCCCAGGCTAGAGCTCAGATAACCAACTCAGACCAATTCTCTCACACTCCTTCAAACAAGGTGTGGGCCAGTAACTGTCAGCCGGGACGGTGGGTGGTCACACAATGGCTAAGTGCCATTCAGACAATGCAGGTCCCTGGGAGCTACTCCACTAAGCACTGGGTGCTCTGAGGCCCAGACCTCAGTTCTAAGCGCCTTCTCCCCTGGTCTCTGAGGAGCCTCCAAGGGGGAATACCCTGTGGTACCACCACCAATTGGCAGCAGGCTCCTGAAGGACTTCAGGGCAGAGCCATTCTTGCATCTGGCCCTGGGGGTGGCGGAGAGGCAAGGCTAAGAGCTGAGATCTTTTCAGACCTAGGAAAGTCATCAAAGCAGCCAATCGGGATAGCCAGCAAGGCACCAGGGATGCCCTTTGCTGAGGGCTGGCTGGATATCCCTGGGTTCCTCAGCAAGCAGCTCACAGAAATGCCTTGATGACTCAAGCTCCCCTCTTCCTGCATCCCCTCACAATGTACAGAGCCATCAGGGTGGGGGTAGGGGGTCTGAGGCAGGCAGGCCACAGGTTAAGCCGATGGACCAATGAAGCAGAGAGCGGCAGGCACGGAGCTCCTAGGCATGCCGGGGGTAGCGAGCATGGGATGCAGCGGAGTGGCAGGCCTTACCCGTGGAGAACATGAGGGAATGACTCCTGATCTCCTCCAGCTTTTGAACGAACAAGGCGTTCATCTCTCCCTGCAGCGCCCCCTGCTGCCTGTGAGCACCCTCCGGCTGGCAGGGGGCTGCCTCGGGACTGCCTGGGCTGCCTGGGCTGCTGGAGTCCGAAGACACAGAGCCGCCTCCTGGACCCTGCCGCCGAGCCCTAGGACCCTTGGGGGCCTCTCTGCTTCTCCCTGGGGTGGCTCGAGGACTCAGGCTGCAGCAAGGGCCCCCCAGTGAATCTACCCGGGCCCTGGGCTGCTGGCTGATGGCCACGTGGCTGCCTGCAGGCCCAGGGCTAGGTTGCTGCTCCCTTCGAAGGCCCTCAACGTCCATACCGGTGCAGGAGCCCACCACACACTTCATGCATGTGGCGGCCATCCCTGCAGGTCCAGGGCCTTCGGGGACATGCGGGGACCGCACCTGTGCCGGTGTTCTCTCTTCGGTTGCTTCTCCTGCTGGTGCCTTACCTCGGGGACTGCCGCTGCCTGACCTCTCTTGAGTAGAGGCCTCCAGAGCTGGGTTGGGGCTGGGGGGTGCCACGTCATCAGCTGCCCCCTCAGAGCCTGCGTCCTGTGTGCCCAGGGCCAGCTCTGGGAAGCCCTTGCGACTTGGCTTCTGACTTTTGGTTGGGGCACTGGCTGTGCGCCGCAGGAGCCTCTGGCTAACGGAGGGACGGGGCAGGGGCTGCCCAGCAGCATGACTGTCCAGTGAGCCTGGCTTTGGGCCTCGGAGGAAGAGACCTTTTAGACCCAGAGTCTGCTTGACCTGCAAGAAAAGGAGCCCACATAGCTGGTGCCTGGCCCGCCCGGCCCAGGTGTGGCTTCAGAGGGGAACTGGCTCTCCAGAGGGTGTTCTGAACCTGTAGTTACCGTGGACTGCCATAAGAGGATATTGCAGGGCCATATACAGGAAACAGAGTTTCCCGGCAACTCTACCAAGGGTAACAGGACTTCACCCTTCAGACTAAACTTGAGACAGAACCTAGAGAACCTTCCCGGTGTTATCTCAATGACAGAACTCAATCCCTACACCCTGGCCACCCACTTGTCCCAGCCTTGATGAACTGAGGATTGCAGCCCCAGATCTTGGAGAAAGAAAAGTTGGGATCTGTCATCACCATGGTTACACTCACCCTGCCCTGTGGAACAGCCTAGAAGGCCTGCTCTCCCTCAGCCTCTGCCACCCTACTTCCCAGGAACCTCTCCTCACTCCTAGAGGGCTGCCTTTCTAGGAAGCCTTGTTGAACTCCCCCCCCCTCCAGGCAGACTCCTCCAAGGTCAGCTTGCACTCTGGCCCCATGAATTCCTGGGGCTCTCAACCGGCTCAACATGCGACCAGTGTCAGGCCACAGCCAGCTTCTGCCCAGTCCCCTCCTGCATTCCCCTCTGCATAGATCACTGCTGGAGAGGATCTGTGGCCACCTCTTAAGAGGACAAAGGCCACAGGGGTCCTCACATGCCATACACCCCTGGATCCCACCACCAACACCCACCACTCCCCCATGATGGGCCGTGCTCGTGCGTTGGAGCAGCCCAGGGCCTGGCGGCCAGGGGCCCTTCTGCGGAGGCAATAGAGTGGCCAGCACTTGAATCAGTGTCCTGATTCAAGATCCCAAATCCAGTGCAATTTGGTCAATGTGGTTGGAAAGCCATTTAGAAGGAGATCCAGGATTCGAGCTGGAGCGCCCGCCCCCACCCCAACTCAGACCCTAGCATAGACCGAGGAGAGAGCTAGAGGGGTCAGTAACTGACTGGGTAGGCAAGTGGAGGGAAGTGGACAGCAAAGGAGCTGTAAGGCTGTGCAGCGAGACCTACAGTCATGCGGAAGGGCAGAAGGTGAGTAGGACTGAAGACAGGATAGAAAGATAGGTCCTTGGCCTTGGCTGAATCCTGGATCTGCCTCATAAATGCCACTCTCTGGCTGAGGATGGCCCAGGGGACCCCAGAAACGTGTCATGATCCATGTCACATGAGCTGACAAGTCTCCAAGATGCTACCAAGAATCACGGATGCTAATGGGCGCGGCCTGGCATGCAGGTGGGGCGGCGGGCTACACCGCGTCCCGCGACGCCGGGTACCTTTGAGACTCCTAACAAGGCTGAGCTTCTAAAGGTAGACTTGGGACATAGAGAAGCCCACTGCAAGACCAAAGAGAGAGTGAAGGCAGGTGAGCTGGCCGTGGTGGCCAGAACAGGGCCTACCTAGCCATGGCCCTCAGAGACAGGCAGACACGGGATAGATGGATGGATGGTGGCAAATAACAGGACACCTTTAGTACCTCTGGACCCATGGTGCTACTGGACAGTTAGTGTTGGGCCCAGCAGGACCCATTCACTGTCTGGTTACAGGCCCCAAAGGGTTGGTGGCACCAAATTGTACCCCAGGGCCTCCCTTAGAGACCCAGAAGATGGACTCCGCAGACTGAGAACACTTCCTGTTCTGGCCTGGGGTGGGGGGTACATGGGATGGGGACCTGAGGCTCCAGGTAGTGAGCAAATGCATGTAGATCCCTTTCAGGAAATGGAAATCCAGAGGGATGTGGCACTCAGGACAAGGAAAGCCACAGGAGGGGTCATGTTGCTCTACCCTTGCCAAGAATCCAAGCAGTCAGTGCTCCCGGATGTACAGGACATCAGAGGCTACTGAGGAAAACTAAGACCAGGACTGGCAAAAGACAGAGAAGAGGGAGGCAGGTACCAGGGCATCCCATCCCAGGACAGCAGGGAGGCAGATACTGGGGGATCCCATCTCAAGACAGCAGGGAGGTGGGTCCCAGGGCACCCCATCCCAGGACAGCAGGGAGGTGGGTCCCAGGGCACCCCATCCCAGGACAGCAGGGAGGCAGGTACTGGGGCATCCCATCCCAGGACAGCAGAGAGGCAGGTTCTGAGGCATCCCATCCCAGAACAGCAGGGAGGGAGGTACCGGGACATCCCATCCCAGGACAGGGACACTTGGCACACTTGGGTTCCCAAAGACCCCTGGGACATGGAGGCAGCACTAGAAGGCTCCAGGGTCAGCATCCCCTAGTAGCCCACATCACAGATTAAGGAAGAGGTCCAGAGAAGTGAATGCCAGTCCCTAACCCCTGAAGGGGACAGGGTGAGAGCGAGGGGCGGGTCCTATCCTTCCTGTGGCTATGCGAGGCCCGGGAGGCAATACTCACCTTACCACTAATGTCACTGACAGCCACATGTACAAAGATAGAGGCCTCTTCCATCCCTTCTAGGTACACATGCCGATAGCCTGGAGCAATAGGGTCATGAGTTGTCAAAGTTCCAACATCTCTTCACCCTGCCAACCCACACTTTCCTCAAAGGTCTCTGGGCCTTGAGTAGGACCAGGGGGCCTCTTGTTCATAGGAGGAATCAGCTGGGCCGCCTTCTTGTGTCCTAAGCTAGTTAGGAGCTCCTGAGGAGGACAGGCAGGGAACACTGCTGGCAAATGCTGAAACTTGAGCCCAGACTTCTTACCTGGCATCATGCTGCTGAAGGCCAATGTCCTCTGACCAATGAAGTCACGTCCAATGGGGTCATGGTCCCAGACCAGAAAGCGCACAAGCGCAATCTCGGGCATGTGCACAGTGAACACCAGTGTCTCCTCCCACATGGGGTTGAATCCTGGAGATAGTGAAGAGAGGATCATCAGGTCAGGAGATGGAGCTAATGACCGGCACCTAAGGGACCCAGAGTGGACAGGACACTGGGCACCCAGCAGTGCCCATATCTCACGTGGGGCCTATGGCAGCCTTGGGCATAGGCTGGTGTCTGATGCTCTCACCGTTGTCGTCCACCACTCGGGTCTGCTCCTTGCTGCAGTCTACAGGAAGCCCGATGACCTCTACCTCCACAAAGGGGTCGATGATCTAGAGACAGGGTGAGAGGTGGCACCGGGACCCCAAGCCCTCCCACTACCCACCTCACCCATGTGGGTTCGACCCTACCTCCCCACGGTCACCCAGCACCGAGTCCCGTGGCTTGGGCAGCTGCTGGCCACTGATGATCCTCAGGGCCAGCTGCTTCTTGAGCTGCCCTGGCAGGGGGTCCTCAGAGTTGGGGTTGAAGACACCTGAGAGGATGCAGGCGTGAGCCAAGTTCACAGCTCACACCACACGCCTACCTATTGGTCTGTGGGGATCTGGTGAAAAAGAGCCCTAGGGACGGGTCAGAAAACTTTGGCCTGGGATGGGATAGCTGCACCGGTTTGGGCAGGTGACCCTGATCACAAGGTGGCTAGGCGCTTGCTCAGGCTGCTAATGTTAAGGGCGCATCATGCAGGGAAACACAGCTCAGTGCAGCAGAAAGGCGTAATGAAAAGGCTCTGAGCAGACAGAAGCCTGTGTAGCATACTGGGAGAACCCCGTGGGACAGAAGATGGCTTCCGAGCATGCCAATCAGGGACTGAGGTCCAGCACCTGGCCTGCATCTCCTGGAGCACACAAGGACCTCAGACAAGTGCTGCCCATAAATCTCACGAGGCCTGCAACCCAGCGCCCAATAGACGAGCTCTCTAACTCCCACCCACGGGTCCTTGGCCTAAGGTTCACTGCGCACACACACACACATACACACACACTCACACACACACATACTCACACACACACACATACTCACACACACACACATACACACACATACACACACTCACACACACACATACACACACACTCACACATATACACACACATACTCACACACACACTCACACATACACTCATACTCACACACACATACTCACACACACACAAATACTCACACACACATACTCACACACACACAAATACTCACACATACACACATACACACACACACACACTCACACACACACCAGTAGACAGATACCCTACTCTAACCCACCAGTGTCCTGGTAGCTCAGTCTCAGCACAACCTGACCCTCTGCTCTGTTTACCCACCACCCCAGTATCCAGGGTAGTATCACAGGACCCCAACCCAGCCTGAGTCCCTCACCCTGGCACATGCACTGCGGTTTGAGCACGTAGCCACAGCCACCGTTGGCGCTGAACTTGGCCCTGTTCAGCTGCAGCATCCGCCCTTCTGACTGGTAGTTCAGGGCAACTGAAGGGAAGACAGAAGCCCTTGCAGGTCAGTGATGGTCACATGCTCTTCTGTGAGTTCTGGGGCTGAAAGCCCAGCATACGTGCTAGGAGTACAGGGCCAGATGGGGTGTTTCTCATGCAAGCCTAGGATCTGAAAGGCCCCACCCTGGTTGCTAAAGGCCTTCGGAGATGGCCCTCCTCACCATCCCACCCTGAGCCACATGCCTGCACGCACCCATTTGGCAACCAGCATTCCAGAAGGGTTGTGGATTGTAGTTGCTGGAGTCCACACGGTAGGAGGAGGGGTATATTCGTGAGAGCTGGTGTTGGTTGAAGCGCAGGTACTGGGTAGGCTTTTGCTGCAGGATCTGGTGGGCCTTGGTCTCGCTGAAGGACGACACCTGCCAGCTAGATACCACTGGAGCACAGACCACCCAGGCATGAGCACACATAGCCTGTACCCCACAGCCGACCTGCCTGATCCCTCCCTCCACGTGGCCCTCACCCTCCATCTCCACGTCATGGGTGCCCACAGACTTGGTATATTTCACTAGGTCCGAGAGGGCTCGTGACAGCTTCATGGTCTTCTTTTGCCGGGCAGTCCTACGAGGGTGCGGCAGGGCTACTCAGGACCCTGTGGCTACGCCCCTCCCATCCAGTCCCAGCCAGCCTCCCTGTTCTTCGACTCAGGCTCCAGGGCCTGTACGGGTCCATCTGCTCCCCAAATCATATGTCCCAGGCAACCTGGGACTTGTAAACAATAGTTAAGGTACATTACAGCCCCCCAGCAGATAGGTACCCTGCTTTAACCTTCCAGTGTCCTGGTAGCTCAGGCTCAGCCTGACCCTCCGTTGTGTTCCGTGTACCTACCACCCTGATATCCAAGGCAGTCTTACAGGAGGCAGGGAAAGGTCAACCCTATTAGTGATGAGGTTATAGAGACATGTCTGCCAAGTGTGGACTGCTCTGAAGCCATCATGGGATCTTTGGAACAAAGACTCTGGGCTCCTGAACATGAACAAGATGGGGCCTGGGGATTCCTGCTCAGCTAAAGGATGTTCTGGGGGATGCAAGCTTCTGAAAGGTTCTGGGCAGGAGGGTAAATTAGAAAGACTAAGTCATGGAGAAGAGGCAGACCAGTGACAAAGAATGTAATGTCTTAGCAGTATGGCAAGGCAGAGCTGGGACTGCAGACACGTAGGTGGGGGGAGACTGGGTGTGACACAGATAGACAGACATGAGCTAGGACTGTGGAGGAAAACGGGAGGGGGAGGACAGGAGTGAGGAATAGGGCCAGTGGGAGCCTCCTGTGGGGAAGATGAGCTCCAAGCTGCACTAGCAGGTACGAGACCCCAGTGAACCCACGAAGGTGCTGTGGAAAGCAAACAGACGGAGTCAGGCTGGTGCCATCCCAGAATAGCTGCCACTCTCATAGGGTATAGGAGGCACAGAGATAAACAGATGCTACCCCTGGAGGAAACTGGGGCCCTGTGGAAGAGGAGGTGGGAGCTGAGGTCTGGTTAGTCAGGCAGTGTTTATACCCAGGAGACTCTGAGGGACCCTCAGGAGCCCTACTAGCCTAGTATCTGAGCACTGCTAGGCTTGCCCTGTGCTTTCTGCTGCTGCCTGGACAACTCCACTTTCTCATTACCTGCTTAAGTGTTCAGGGTACGAGTGGGGCATGGATTCCCATACCAACCACCCATCTCTGCTCAACACTCAGGGACAGCCCCCTTGGACTGGGCAGGGCTCACGCACATACACGTGCATGTGGGCGTGCACGCACACACACACACACACACACACACACACGCGCGCGCGCGCACTGGGCAGGGCACTGACCCTCGGCTCTGGCTTCCTGGGGAGTCCAGGTTCTCATCCCCCTCTTCCACGCTGGCCACCTTCTTTATCTTGCTGCCTTTTTTCTGTGTAGGGAAGTGGAATTTTTGTGGACCTCAGATCAAACCAGGACATGTAAAAGGCCGGGAGGAACAGCGTAAGGGCTATTTGCCCAGGTTCCTGAATCCTTACCCAATTGGCCCACAGAGGTATCTGAAATGCCCTGGCTCAGGGGGGACTCTCAGGACTTTCAGTGTCTGAATCTCAGACACTGTGGCCAGTGTGGGTCAAGGGAAGGTAGTAGCCAGAACTCCTACTTTGGGAACCTGGCCCCAACCACAGCTAGCAAATGGTACAGGGATGATGGCAGAACTACATGGGACCCCTGAGGCCAGGACCTCTACTCACCTTGCGCTTGGAGAAACTGCTCATGAGGAGACGGCTGTTCCGCCTGCTCGACCCAGTGTCCTCCCCGGACTCCACGTCTTCCTCAACCTTGCTCTGACCCTGAGAGACAGATAGAAGTTGAACCCAACCTCCAACCATGCAAGCAAGACAGGACAGCTCCCTGGTGGCCCCAGAAGGCCTTTCTGGAGGAGGTAGAGTTGACCAGGCCTGGAAGCAAGGCGCTGATTTGGGGCTGGGGGAGGTCAAGCACAGCTGCCAGGAAGCGGCCTGAAGAGCTGGGCAGAGCGGCATATATTCACATGCCCACACCAGCCTCCCATGGTGTGCGGTTTTAAACCCAAGTAATCAGTTCCAAATTTCTTTATCATGGATGGAGACTGCATAATAAACGCAGCTTACATCTGGAATGTTCTTCAGACAAGTCCACTTACGTAATCCTTTTTTGAAGCCCTGATGCCCCAGCCTGTTACTGCAGCACAAATAAAGTGAATAATCCCAGATCCAGCCAGCTGGGTCTGAGAAGCACAGGGCAGGACTACCTATGCACTGGGCACAGAATAGGCACATCCCAGGTCTTCCCAGGCCCTAGCTAGAACCCCACCCTGGACCCTTGTTCTCATGAAAGTCACTGAGCAACTGTACTGCACACTGGTTTCTCCCGGGCTGTTATGGTATCACCACCCACTCCACACAACTCCTGAAACCCAGGACAGCTCTAGTCAGGGCTTCCTAACTTCATTTTGTTACCTAGCCCGGGTAGAGGATGGTTTCTATCATACACACTAGATCCATGTACCTGTAGCTAGAGATAGAACTGATAGAGACAGGGGTCAGAGAGAGCAAAGATGCAGCATGTGTCCCTATGCCATACAGGTGAGAACTGTCCACATATTGTGGTGTGCATCCCTGTGTATACACAGGTCATATCTGCGCATAGCCCTGGTGTTACTGTACACACCATGGACAGCCCTACACACTAGCCCAAGGACACTCCTAAACAAGCATATGGATACTTCATACACCTGAGGCACCTGCACACACCACAGACACCTGAACACACCATGGACCCCTGCACATAATGTGGACCCTTGCATGTACATGGATTTCTGCACACACCTTGGTCCCCTGCACACATTGTGTACTCCTGCACACATTACGGACTACCGTATATACCACACATGTATGTACACACCTCTGCATACACCATGGACACTTACGCACACCCTTGCACATGTGTGTGGGCCATCTAGGGATGCTGTGAAGAGCCTGCTTTGTGCTGTAAAGAGCCTACTTTGGTCCCTGACCACAGAGAACTCTCAGTTCTCTACTATGGTCTCAGAAAACAGCTGATGTCTTTCCATGATCTCTTCTGTCTAAGCCGCTCTGCCTTGACATCATCAAGCACCCCCATTGCAGATCTCACTGATGTGATGGTGATCAGAAGCTCCTGCCAGCTGCCTTCACCCTGATTCCCTTCTCTACCCTCTTCGAGGGTCAGGACCAGATGTGCCTGGACTTTCCTGATGCCCAAAGTAGCCATGATAGCCAGGCCTTTCCAGTCCACAGACTTCCCAGGTCCAGAGCCAGAGGCAGATTCCCAGCATCTGAGATACCGGGTTTATCTGCCTTGCACAGCCCTGTGTTATATATACCCCAGTGATGGTAGTCCATTTTCCCCTTAATCTGGGGACATGTAGTGGGAGAGGCCCTAGAAGCTTCACTTATGTGTTGGGAATCCCATGAGGCTGACGTGTTTCTAAATTATTTAAGTAATGTCCAAATTGTTGTCATCACCATGACTTGAATGATCAAGATATACACACAAATTAAGGGAGGTACACACGACCCATGCAGATGTATGCTCACCAGGCCTGAATTCATATGACAAGGTTAGAAGCCACCATCAGTCCAGAAGTACTATGCGTGTGTAGCTGTGTAGCCTGACCTGGTCCCCTCGGTGGCCGTGAACATCTGATCGTGAGGTAAGCTTAGGGCTAAGTTGCATAGACAGCATTTTGGGGGAGGGACTGTCCTTTCCACAGACAAAGCCAGCAGTTAAGCCTCTGTCTTCAGCAGCAACGATCCTGTTCTGGGACCAACCTGAGGTACAGGGCACTCACTAGTCTGAACCCTCTGGAGCTATGTTTGTTGATTAGTAGGGGTCTCATCTGTTCCCACCTCCTCGTGTTCACACCTCCTCGTGTTCACACCTCCTCGTATTCACATGCTGCCCTCAAGTCCTCCTACTGTCTCACCAGAACCCCTGAGCAGGGAGGGCCTCATGTCCTCAAGGTTCATACGCAGAGGGCATGGCACCTAGCCTAGAGTGTGGGGGCTGGGGGAGCAGAGTGACTTATGGTAGGACTTGCTATCTCTTTGACGAACCAGCACTGATACTCTCATCTGCCTGGACATTGCCCCAGGAAGCTCCCTGGCTAACCAGTGCCCTACTCCGTAGTTCTTTAGCCCCTAGCTCAGCAGCTTCATCATGCATTCCCTTTCTACGTGTCTATTGCAGGCTGTGCAGACAGCCTGGGGATACTGTCAGGCTGGGGTAAAAGCTTCTTCTCCAACCTGGGTATCTTAATACAGGAGCTCTTCCTCCCCACCCCTTCCTTTCCCTCCTCCCCTTCCTCCCTCTCTTCCCCCTCCTCTTCTACATCCTCCTCCTTACTCTCTCTTCCTCTAAGCTTTCTCTGAGTATAGTTATTCATACACAAGATGGCAAGGGCCAAGCTGTGCTCCTGGCCCCAGGTGTCCCTCTTGTTGGCCAAGAAAAGCAGAGATCCTGTTAACCTTCGCCAGGGTTGGACCAGTGACAGGGCCCTACCTTCACTCAGCCCTCTACTAATGGAGGCTGGGCAAAGCATCAGGCAGGTTATACTCTCCCACCCAAATGTCTGGGAACTAAAAATAAAGAGGAGGTCATGTGCATGGGACCCGTGTGAGCCACCTGCAGAGCTATCACAGCAGCTACGCCGAACCCTCTAGGGTTGTCGGTGGAAAAAAACACACCTCTAAAAACACACCAGGAGCAGACCCTGTTCGTCCTCTTCCGGCCCTCACAAAAGCCTTGGAAACAGCTAGAAGTGAGCCAGTGGCAAGGGAGGGCAGGGGAGTGGAGGGAAGTCTCTCCAGACATCTCACCTGGCAGATGCCTTGCTCAGCTGCGAGGTCAGCTGCCAACCTGCCATAGCCACCACAGCCAGCTGCTGGTCTGTCCTTCAAGCTTGGCTTGCTGCTCCTCAACAGGAGCACGCTGACTGCAGTCTGGCCCCGCTTGTCTGGCACCTGTCTTCACCCCATCACACCTGCCAGGACAGTCTCTGAAGGCATTCTCTCTGTGTATTTCCCCATATATCTGAGATGCTTCAGAGAGTGGGCAGCTCCCAGGAGCTGCCTAGGCCCTGAGATCCTGCTTCCTATCCCTCTATCATCCATGAAACCCTCATCAAAGTAGGCAATGCTCAAAGCCCCTCCAAGAGAAGCCTTAGGTCCCTAAGGGAATACTTACAAATCCTGTGCGAGTGCACATGGGTGTGCACAGGCATCCATGCAGGTGTGTGAATGCGTGAATAAGTATGTGTAGAGGGGTGTGTGTGTGCATACAGATATGTGTGCAGCTATGTGCACACACTCGAGCGTTGTGTAGTACAAGCACACAAGCATGCATATGTACATGTATGCATGCAGGTGTGTGCAGAGGTGTACTTTTATATGAGTGTGCATGGAGGTGTGTATGTGCATGTATAAGCATGGTGCACATGTGTGTACAAAGGTGTGTGTGTGTGTGTACTCACAGGTGTGTATATGGATAGCTTTATAGACATACCTCTGCATACCAGTGCCTGTATGTGCATAGACATCTATCTACTGCCACATGTTCTGGGGCCCTCACCCAGCTCACGGACTAGCCATTGGAAGAACATAGGTCAACAACAAAGGTCTCACCTTCTTGGCCTCTGCTTTGTGCCCAAGCTTTCCGGATGGCGATAGTGTGGAGACAGTGAAGTCATTAGGGTCTTCACAGTCACGGATCTTTGACTCCTTGATCAGAGAATCCAGCTTCTTCTTTGCAATGTTTTCCACACGCTTCCGGTTGGTGGAGGCCTGCCACAGGTCAGCCTGTTAGTGTCTGTCCCCATCCCAGAGAGCAGCCATCACAGTCCCTATACCTACCCTGTGATTCTCAGCGCAGAGGCTGTGATTTGCCCCCCGGGTAGCTACGGGCAGCACTAAAACCCAGATACATGTAGTCCATAAAGTACTGTTCTGCGTGAGGGACCTGGAGAAGGAGGTCAGGACATTCGGAAGATAACAGGATCTGAGACCTACACACAGGCTGCTGTAAATGTTGAGCAGCCAGCAGGGACAGGAACCTCGAGTCCTAGCTGGGTCCAGTGAGGTTCTGATGTAGTTTGGAGCACTTGAGGGAGGACCTCAGTCTGGGACATCACTCTCTGGCAGGACAAGCTTAGTGAGACCCTGCTGTAGTTTGGAGCACTTGAGGGAGGACCTCAATCTGGGACATCAGGACCCCTCACCCCGTGTGCTCAGGATGGAGTGGCCCCTGTTAAGGCTGTCAGTCCTGCCACCACCCTGGGCCAGCCAGAGACATGTGCAGGCGCACCGGAAGCAGGAAGAATCTGCTGTCTCAGGGCTTTCTAAAACAATTAGGCGGCTCTGGCCTGGAGGCCTCCTGCACAATTATTTTCCCATCTGATGACTCCTCAGGGGGAAATAAAGTATTTGCTGCCTCGTAGTGGCTGAGAGCAGTGGATGAGCAATGCCCAGAGGAGAGACATCAGTTACAAAGCCTTCCTCCACTCAGCTCCTCCAGCACCCATTCCAACTAGCAGAGGCTCTAGCAGACTGTTCAGGCTCCCTCCACAGCCCTCAGCCCTGGGCCAGGCCGGCTGCTCTGTGGGATATGAGTGCTGCCATACAGGAGATCTAAGCATTGCATCTGGCCCTTAGAGTTGGTACTTGCCCTGGGCATGGAGTAGCTAGGTAGGAGCACTGGCCACTGAGAGCAGCCCCACAGTCCCCATGCATACCCTGTGATTCTCAGCGCAGAGGCTGTGATTTCCCCGGGAAAGCTATGGGCAGCATCGAAACCCAGATACATGTAGAACCCATGTGGTTGTGTGTGAGGGACCCCAGAGGAGGAGGTCGGGGCATTCGGAAGATAACATAGGATCTGAGACCCACGCACTGGCCGCCATATGTGTTGAGCAGCCAGCAGGGACAGGGCAGACATTGAAGGAAGCTGGCCAGGCAGTTGAGGTGCTCTGAGTTAAAGCATGGCAGGAAGAGGTGTGGGTATGGGTAGGAATGGTGTGGAGCCCAAGGTGCAGCCCCTCAGTGCTGCCTCTGCTCACTGAGGGGCCAAGAAATCTGTGTCAGCATCACAGACAAAATCCAAGAGTCAGCTTATCAATAGAAACCAGAATGGGATAACAGTAGATGTGTGGCTGGCCTGTGTAGTAAGACATGAGGACTCTCTTCCTCTCCCTCCTCTCCCCTTCCCCCCTCCCTCATTCTCTCTGTCTCCCCTCTCCTTCCCCTCCCTCTTTCCTCCCCTCTGCTCCTGCCTCTACTCTCTCTTCTAAGGCAGGGTTTCTCTGTGTAATAGCCCTGGCTATCCTGGAACTCACTTTGTAGACCAAGCTGGCCTCAAACTCAGAAATCCGCCTGCCTCTGCCTCCCTAGTGCCTTCAGCTTTGTACACCACAGCATTTACCCTGTGTCCTCTCTTCCTGTTGCCAGCCTTCCTCACTCATCCTGGCAACCAGGACAAGAGGTTGCTCCTGGGATCCACGGGCTTCCCACCCTTGAAGGGACTCTAGCCAGCCTGAGCACAGCCAGCCTGGGTCTGGCAGGCCTTCCCTTATCCCTGGTTCCTTCTGCCTTGATAAAAACCGTTAAATTACTTTCCTAAAGCTAGTCTCCAAGGTCTGTTCCCTTATTTGGCCACTTCCTCCTTCTGAGGCTGACCACCAAGGTCCAGCTCTCACAATATTGAAGTTGAGCAATCAAAAGCTCCCTTTGACTTGTCTAATTAACATACCTAATTAAAATCAAACATCTCATCCTAACACAGGGTTTCCCACTTTTTTTTTTTTTTTACATTTATAAACCACCATTTGCCTATGTGCCATGTCTGTCTTCTCTCTACCCAGAGGCAATCCTTTGTCCCTGGGGACAAATACTCCTTCCCCCCCTCCCTCGTTCTCTTCCCCTTCTCCCTCATCCTCCATCTCCTTCTTTGTCTCTGATTCCCTGCCCTCTCTCCCTCTGGGACAAATAAATCTCCTTTGTGCTGAGAACTTGGTCTTGGGAGTTTGTGGCCAACTCTGGGATTCCCTACGACCCTCAGGACTTCATGCAGAGCCTTTGGCTCCCACTCACATCTCCATTGAGGAGCTTGCAGTCATCTTCAATCTCGTCGGCGCTGTCCTCATCAGATACTTCACCTTCTTCCGCATCCTCACTGATAGTGGCAGGGAGCTTCTTCCCCTGGGGGGAGAGGTAGAAAATGGGAGAAGCCCCAAGGAGAGACCAGGAGTCCAGTGGCTGGTACCCACTAGAAGTAGCCACCATGGGGGGGGGGGCTTCGTAAAGTTCTTTTTTGGAACTCCAGGCCACAGGTGGTTCGTAACTGTACAATGAGTTGACGCTGTGGCAGTATCACACAAGGGAAGTGGCTCAGGGTGACACATCCATCCTGAGAGGGAGTGCTCCCCTCCCCTCCATCTGTCTGTGGCTACTATGGCCCCAGGCCAGAGCTATCAAGCTGTTGGTTCCAGAAAACTTACCTTCACCAGAATCTTGCCTTTGAGCATCTGTGGAGAAGGAAGCACGGTCGCATCTTCGCTGCTCACTGAGGAGAGGTCCAGCTTGTCCCCAAGGATGTCAGTCAGATACTGGGCCATCTTCTTCTGCTGAACAACACTACAGTGGTTCTCAATGGACAGGATCACTGGGTACCTGTGGTCCCAAAACAAGAGGAGTGGGAGGCGGCCAGGACCCCAGAGACTGACTAGGCCCATAGGTATACAATACAGGCCACCTGTACCATTGAATGTGGTGAAGGTAATTAAGTGATTATGTAAGAAAGCTGCCATCTGCTCTAAGAGGTAACCCACCAATAACTCTGAAAATTAAATAAATGGGTAGGAAAGAAGCTGAGAAATTTTAGGGACAAGTAAAGAAAGCATGAAGGGAAAAAAATCAAAAGCGATTACAAACTCCGGGAAAGTAAAAAGTCATGGTTTGAATGTGGCATTATGAGATACTATGGAATAGTGGATAAGCTGTAAGGAACATAATCTCTTTAGTCTACACAATGGACGACCCCTATGTCCTGACCTAAGCCTGGCATGCACCATCAAGAAGAAGTTGGTACCCACTCCGTGCAGAACATGAAGATCATGGGCGGTGCTTTTTAAACACTGGTGCCTTGTTTATCTTTAACTGTGTGTAATACACATTTGACTTTGATTGTTACCGAAAGGCAATCGTGATTTGTTTAGAAAACCTAAGTATCTGGGTCAAGAAATGGGCAGTCATGTGATGTGGAAAGGACAAACAGACACCAGGGCAAAAGTATTTTTCTTCCCATTTCCCAGACAAAAGACAAGTCCTTTCGGGGAAACACTGCACCTGGAAAGATGATGCTGGCTCACAGAAGCAGCCCCCTGTTGGCTACAGGACATCTGTATGTCCCAGCTGCCCCTGAGCTCCAAGACCCCCTCAGCTGCACCCCCAAGAGCCCTCCTGCTACACCCCCTGAAACTACGACTGTTTCCTAAATCCATCTGTCTTTCCGTTTCACCACTTCCTTTCCTGCTTCAGAGTCTTGTTTAGCTAAGGTAATGTCTTCTATTTCCAGAAATCAAATTGGATTTTTTTTCAACAGTGTCCACAGACACAGCTGAGCGACAGCAAGTTGAGTCTGGACACAGAGTAGTTTCCTGGAGGTAATTAGCAATAGAGGTATCACTTCCATGGGTGGCTGAGACCAGAGATTGCCATGGCACGGATGTGGATAGGCTATAGGCACACGAGCATCTGTTCTTACCTGTACCGTAACCTGTCCTGGATTCCCTCCCCTGCCACTCTCCTCAAAGAACAACTTCTAAACAAAACAGCTGGTTGCATAATATAGTCACCACCCACTGGGAAACGCAAGGGAAAGAGAAGAGAGACCCAGACCCTGGATGCCTTTCCCCTGCCTGCCTCTGGGGCCAGCCCCCAGGAGATCCCAGTCACTCACTCATTCTTGATGAAGGCATATTTGTTGATGGTTTCTATGACATCTTTGAAAAGGATCTTGGAGGTCAGAGTGTAGCCGTGGTGGACAATGGGTTCCCCATCAGGCCCGTCCCAGCAGTCCACTGTAGGCAAGTAGATCCTAATTAGCACCAGAGGCTTGGCTGTGTGAGCCTGGGGAGGCTTAGTCCTTAGGCTCCAAACAAGGGGGTCTGTCTTCTCAGTGGTGAACAAAAGGGACCCTGTCAGAAGTCCCTGTGGCATTAGGCAGAGCCCATTTCCTGAAGGAGGTGCCATTTACAGCCAAAACAGCTCCTGGGTGCCATCCAGAGTCCAAACATGCTTACCCTCCACACAGCGACAGCCGGCTTGCAGGACCCAGGCATACATGTCCACCCGAGACTGGGACATGAGCTGGTCACCCACGAGGTAGGTGTTGTGGGACGAGGTGATGAAGTAGTGACTGAGCGGCTGCGTCATGTCTTGGTGCACTCTGTGGTGTTCAGGGTTGAAGATGTCACCTGCGGGGCTCCTTGTGTAGTTGGTAAAGCCTGCGGTATACACAGGAGAACGGTGGTGTATCTCTGTCTCTGGGCTCAGCTCTTGACTACCTGCCCCACAGGTAGAGTCCCCTGTGCAAGCATGCAGCTGCCCCAGCAGTTTCCCATCACCCTCCTGGAACAACAGAACTGAGGGAAGCACCCACTCACCATCAATCCCCAGTACCCCCTTGCTCTTATTTTCCAGACAAGGCTCAAACTGTTCGATGATGTTCTGACAGCTCTCAAGCGTCACGTCATTCATCTAGGCCAAAGCAGAGGCATGAGCCCAGGCTAGTTTATTCATAGCATGGACTACCATCAGACAGCATCCCCTTCCTCCCACCAGCGTTACAATCTCTTGCCCTTGTCTCTGCCATAGGGTGGCATCCAGCCATGACATTAGGGTGGGAAAGTCTGCAGGTGGGGGCCACCTCAGGGTAGCATGGTAAAATGGTGAGCCTTAACAGTCAGCTTCACAAAATGCGGAATCGCTTGGGAAAGAGGTCTTCATGAGACCTCTTGTCTAGATCAGGCTGGCCTTTGGGGACAAGAGTTGGGGACTGTCTTGATTATGTTAACAGGGGAGGCAGACCCATCTTGTGGCTGGGTTTTGTCATGGTTTAAATGTGCTTGGCCCAGGGAGTGGCACTATTTGGAGGTGTGGCCTCGTTGAAGTGGGTGTGTCACTGTGGGCATGGGCTTTAAGACCCTCATCCTAACTTCCTGGAAGCCAGTATTCTGCTAGCAGCCTTCAGATGAAGATATACAACTCTCAGCTCCTCCTGTACCATGCCTGCCTAGATGCTGTCATGATCTTTCCTTGATGATAATGGACTGAACCTCTGAACCTGTAAGCCAGCCCCCAATTAAATGTTGTCCTTATAGGACTTGCCTTGGTCATGGTGTCTGTTCACAGTAGTTAAACCCTAAGACAGGTCTGTTGTTCCCTCGGGAAGGGGATCCTGGATTGTACCATGGAGAATGCCAGCTGAGCGTGACATACATGTTTTCCTCTCTCTCTGTTCTCCATGTGGATGTAGAGACCCAGTTCCCTTGGGCTCCTGACTCTGACTTCCCAGACACAGTGCACTGTAACTTGGAACTGTGACCCAAATAAACCCTTTCTCCCTTAAGTTGCTTTTGCCAATCTATTTTTATCACAGCTACAGAAAAGAAACCAAGACACTTGGATTTGGGACAGCCTTGTGGAGTGAGACAAGGTCTAGCAATAACCCTGTGGGCCACAGTGTTGTGGAGGTAATCCTGGGCAATCTGGGACCCAAACCTCAAATCCCAAGCCCACAGCTGCTATTCAGCTACCTAGTCCCCTCCCTGCTATGGTGGGACATGGTCCACCATTGTCAGAGGGACTCTGAGCATGTAGCTGGGCAGATCTCAGCCAGTAATCCCCAAAGCATGCCCTCCTCCTGGGAAATGATCTAGGAAGACCCTGGTAGATAAGTCCATGAAGCTGTTCCTCAAAGTGTCCCCAGGGGAGCCACAGGCTACCCTATTGTTCATGGGACTGCTCTCTCCATAGGGCTGGTCATCCCTTCTCCTGTCATCAGAGTGGGCAGTACCTTGTCCATGCCCAGACCTATTCTAAGGTGTGGGGGGGGTGGTCCCTGGAGCTCTAGACATGAGTGGACTAGGTAGCAGGGCAGTATCTAGGAACACGGTTTTGGTGCTGATACCCAAATGGTGGACTGAGTTCCTGAGGTCAAAGTAAAAAGTTCCAGGGATATTTGAGTGTTTGCTTAATGAACTGGTAATTGCAGAAAGGCTACATATGGAGTCAGGCAGGACACATGGCTGCACCAACAGGCAGAAGACAGGTTCTCAAAGATCGGGCCACGTATCCCCAGCCCATGAAATGCTCAGTATGAAATTTTTGCCAAGGGGAGGGGTGATCTTCTGGAGGCTTTGGGTGGAGGACCCAACGCCAGAATAGAGCTGGCCAGAGGCCCCCTCTGTCCGTGCAGAACCTGTAAGCTTCCTCACTTACCCGGCAGTGTCAAGGGTCCAATTCTACGCTAGCAAGCTCAGAAGACATGGCGGCAGAAGCTGAGGCTGACGTGGAGGTCACACTCACCACCAGCCACGCAGCTTCTGGCAGACCTCACCTTCTGCTCCACCTCCAGAAAGCGCTGCAGGTCGGAAGCGTCCAAGTGGTCCTTATGGTTGCTGTAGGTCAGCATGAGCAGGTACAGGTCTCGGCGAGTGGACATCATCTTGTAGAAGGCGCAGAACTCCTCAAAGCCCAGTGTTCCCTGATGGTCGTCTGTGTCTGCCTCCTGTGACACCCAACCTGAGGTCACCATCCATCCTCCAACCTTACTTCTCCCAGTCTCAAGCCCAGCTTCCCTTCCCTGACACACCCACAGCAACCCCTCCAATGGCTCTTCTCTCTTCTCCCACCAGAAAAGCACTGTGGCCCTTGAAAGCACAGATAGGAGCCAACCCTTCCTTACGCCATGCCTTGCAAGGCCAACCTGTAACCAAACCCCATGATCACCTACACTGTAGTCACCAACACCCTGCCTTGTGAGCTGAACCCTTTGACTGGAGCTCCTTCTACCTCGGGCTCTGCGCCTATACCTGTAGCTACAGTTGGCCACCTGCCCTCTGACGAGACACTCAGGGCCCCAAAGGGCCCAGTAGTGTCCTGGCTCAGGTATCGAGAGGAGTGTTCTTGTTCACTGTCTTCCTTTTGCAGAGAAAAGGACTCATAAGATACCCCCGGGAACAATTCCATAGGAATCCCAAGAAAGACATGATGTCTTCCAAATCTTTACAGACATAAGGAACATCTACTATGGGTGCCATTACCTAGGATACAGTGCACACCCTGGGGCCCAGGCCAGGGAGACTCCAAAAACAAGGGCACCAAGGCTTCATAGTGACCCCCAAGAGTCTCAGGAGTGGCCCAGGAAGGACTCTGTGGGAGGGGCTGCTTCAGTTCTATGAGCTCTGAAGACTGGGCTTTAGTTCTGTAAGGACCTGCTAGGTGAGGTAGGGGAGCCCACATTTGCTTGGAGGTAACAGCCCTGAATTGGAATTTACTGTAAAGCATTTATCTCAAAGGGACGGATGCTTACTGTTAACAATACTCAGTATTTGAGTGCAGGGCTGGGGTGGCCCAGGTGGCTTAAGATCACCATAGGGACCCAGGGGACCTAGGCCACAGCTTACAGTGTAGCTGTCTTTGAATACTTTGTGAGTTCTTCTTTCTCCCACCCTTTCAACCCCCTAACACTAGAGAGGAGAGAAAGAAGGAGCGAGAGGAAAGGAAAGAGATCCCTGAATAAAGTCGAGGGTTGGGAAGAGCAATGTTATCGTTAAACTTCTTTCTGCTGATTAGGGGTGTTTCAGTTTATCGTTCCTCAGGGTAAGTTAGATCTTTGCCATCATGATATCTAATTTCTTCTTTTTCAAGTACGACGGCTTAGCAAACTGTGACCAACAGCAACCAACCATGCTTCTCTGGGCCCTAGCATTTTTTTAATACCCTCTCAAAAGTCCCCAGAATTCTAAAGGTCACACAATTTCAGAAACTATCTGCCCCTGGCAAAACCACGTCCCTGCTAGAGCGTGAGGCAAATCATAGTCAGCGGCTGTGAAGCAGCAGCCCCGTATCCCACACCTGAGATTAAAACAAAAACATATTCTCGTACGATTTCTGTGTTTTTCAATAAGAAACCAAAATTCCATACTTCTCACTACGACACAGGACTCGGCTCTCATCCTTCACTGACCAAGGGCAAAGGTCAGGTTCTATCCCGTGCCTTGTCATCCCAGACCTGGGCACACAGGTGCCAGTTGGCAGCTGTCACAGACACTGGCTGACTCCTCAGGCCTCTATAGACATTCTAGATAGCACGGCAAATGGGTGTCACCAACTCTGTCACACCAAAGTTGTAGGGCATCACGGAGGCTCTGCATTTGGGCACTAATATTAACCCACTGGCTTCTCTCTCCCTGACCATCCGTGGGCTGAACAGGGTCCCTAGGGAAGACAGGAGGAAGCCAGAATGGGCATCTGACTGTTTAGCCCAAGTGGAGCCCAGACAGCAAGGAAAATGCAAACACCAAAAGCAGCTGCCACCAAGCCCCTGCTGAGTTGAGCCCTGATTGGCCCAAGGGTGCTCTTGGGTCATTAAACCTGAAGACCAGTGTGCTGACCAGCCCCACATTCCGTTCTTATCTTAGATTTAATGAAATTATATTAAAGCCACTGCATCTGCTACAGTCTCTGCTCCAGTTACACAGTTCCAGACCACCCTGAAACTGGTCAGAGTGGGCTGAGCCTCACAGAAGGCCACATTTCCATCCTGAGGTCCCTATACTGGACTTTAACCCTTACAGTGCCTATAGAGGTTACTGTGAGGTCTTGGCCTAAATCATATCTGCACAGGCTGGAAAATCTGTGAGATTTAGGGTCTGGATACTCTGTAAAGACCAATGGGTCTGAACCGTGTGACCTAAGGGGCAAGGCCATGTCTCCAGGACATAACATCACAACGTCCTTCCCATACCAACCTGTGACTACATCCCACCTACACACACCACCTGCTAGCCTCTCAGTTAGCATGGTCTTTCATCTCTCTCCAGGGCTTCCTATGGACAATCTGAAGGAGCTAGGCCTGGGGCCACCCAGAGGGACCCCAGGAACTGATCAGTATTCAGAAAGCACAAATTCTGAGAACTACCATATGAAGTAGCTCAGAGCCATGATCTGGAGTTTAAACCCTCCAATCATGCCCAACACACCACGGGTGTTTTCCCCCTCTTTCCTCTCAGGCTGCTCTGAGCCTTGAGTCCTGTTCTGCCCACTGCCTGGCCCTTAGTGCATCCTCACCCTGAGCAAAGCATGCTGAGTCCAGAGCTGTCCTGGAAGATTAAGGGTTAAAGCCCAGTATAGGCAGTAGGGAGTGGATCAGATGCAAGCTATCTGCTAGGCCCCTCTGCTCAGCTGCTGACCCAATAGGAGCCTTCAGGAGAGCAATGAACACTCCCATGGTCTTCAGTGGGCAGTCTGGGAGTGTCCTGTACAATGCTGTCACTCACACAGAGACCCAGTGTCCTGTTCAATGCTGTCACTCACACAGAGACCCAGCTAATACCTGTCATTGTTCCACCTGAGCATGACTGCCTGTCTAGCATGAGTGCACACACAAGAACCTCTGAGGGCCAGACACAGCAGAGCTGTCAGACCATGAGTGCGTGTGTGTGTGAGAGAGAGATACAGCAGAGCTATCAGACCATGAGTGTATGTGTGTGTGTGTGTGTGCAAGCCCTTGAGCATAAGTGTGTCAGACACAGCAGAGCTGTCAGACCACGAGTGCGTGTGTGTGTGAAAGAGATACAGCAGAGCTATCAGACCATGAGAGTGTGTGTGTGTGTGTGCGAGCCCTTGAGCATAAGTGTGTGAGACACAGGAGAGCTGTCAGGCCATGAGCATGTGTATACATGTGTGCATGTGTGTGCATGTTGGGGTCAGACTCTGAATGTGTGTGGGGGGGGGAGCAGACACAACAAAGCTGTCAGGCAATGTCCATGTATATATGTGCCTGTGTGTGTGTGTGTGTCTGTGTGTGTGTGTGATACAGAAGAGCTGTCAGGCACTGAGTTATGTGTGCATGTGTGTGTGCTTGTGTGTGCTTGTGTGTGTGTGTGAGCCAGACACAGGAAAGCTGTTAAGCCATGCGTGTGTGTGCATATGTGTGTGTGTATGTGCATGCATGGAGAGGCAGACAGAGCAAAGCTGTTAGGCCATGAGCATATGTGTGCATGTGCATGTGTGTGCATGTGTGTGCATGTGTGTGTTTCTGTATGTGCATGTGTTTGTATGTGTATGTGGGAGGACAGAAACAGAAGAGCTGTCAGGCCATGAGAGTGTGTGTGCATGTGTGAACATACGTGCACGTGCTAGGGGCAAGCCTGGTACCATGCTCACAGAAATCCCTTTCCAGGCTACAGCAAGGAAATGAGGTCAAAGATCTGGGTTTGCTGGCTCAGCCCATTCCCGCCCTAAATGGGAACCTGCTAACATAAGAGCTTCTCTCCCATGGAGGTTCCCAAAAGACAGAACTAATTACAGACAATAAAGGCTGTGTTTGGCTGAAGGATGCATTTTCATAACTCCTAACGGCAGGGTGATCGGGGGTCACGGCAAAGTGGGGTGGCTAATGAGAGCTGCTGCATGTCAGCCCAGCTCCTTGATGGACTATGTGTGTCTTTAAGGCTGGGGATGACTGGCTGCACTTGAGTGCCTACTCTACTCTATGTGCCCAGTCTTTGTGGGTACGGCTCAGTGCTCAGTGCTCAGAGCCCTGCCCCACAATCAGCAGAGCAGCACCCAGCACAGTAACCAAGAGGTGACACCCCAAAGTCCCTGCTACCTACCTACCCTGTGAGGCGACTGTGACCCTGTGGTGACCCCCCACAGCTCAGGCCTAGGTGGCCACTTCCGGCTTCCCATCTGCAGCCTGCAGTAGCCTCAGAAGAGGTGTTCCCACGGGGGACACAAGCCGCCACGCTCAGCACTCACCCTGAACATCTGTTTCACCCTCTGCCGGGGCAGGTTCACGTTGAGTTTATGTAGCAGCTGCAGAACCTCGCTGATGCTCAGGCTGCCGTCCCCGTTCTTGTCAGCTTCATCAAATGTCTGCTTCAACCACTTTGGGGCTGAGTTAGGGGCCAACACAGTCCATGGGCCTGACCTGGCCTGCTCCTCCCTCCAGCCTAGGAGGCAAGGAGCAAGAGTCCCCAGCCCAAGCACCCCATCTTATCTTCCCTTCATTGGGAATCCCTACCCAGGCGGATAGTGGAGGGGGTCTGTCCCCACCCCTGGAGCCCAAGGATATTGGTCCCTGGTACGCTGGCGACGGGCTAGGCTGTCTTCATCGCTGATGCCAGCCATGAGGTAGCGAAGGCCGGTGACCCAGGTACGTGCCTCTTCACCGCTGGGGGAGACCAAGTCCAGCGATTCTCGGTGGCTGCCGTGGTAGATGCTGAAACAGCAGTTGGGGTCGAAGCTGCTGTCGGGGTAGCGCTGGAAGATTTCAGACTGCCGGCCCTCACTCACCTCCTGGATGGAGTCGATGGAAACTGCAGGCAAGTCAAAGGATTCTGGGTCATCAGTGACCCAAGTGTCCCCTGACCCTTTAGGCCCAGAGCACCCTGAGTTAAGCAGATTGCAGCCTTGCTCTCAATGGCTGACACCCTAATTTAACACCTCCTCGCTGAGCCAATGCTCAGAGGGGCCTCCGATGCCCCTCTGCCCTCTAGTATGCTTGGCTAGGCCCCTCATCCCATTCTGCTGACTATAGGCCTTCTCTTCCCCCTTTAGTAAGAAAACACACACACGTGCACACGTGCACACACTCATGTGCACCAAGGAAAACAAGAGAGAGGTACTTCTCCCCAACTAGCAGTCCAGGCACTTGGCTATCCCAGGACTAAGCTTCTTTTGGAGGTGCACATTGAGACATCAAGAGCAACCCACTCTACCTGTCAAACTCTAACCAACCCATCTCTTCATTCAGAAAAGCACCTGCACCAGGTACACCTAGATCCTGCGGCTGCTTCAGTGACACATCCAGCACTACAGGCGAGAAGCCAAGTGTCCATAGCTGGCAGCTGCAGCTCAACTCGCAGGTGTGCTGGGTGGCAGGTGCATGAGCATGTCCTACTGAAGTCTCTTCCTCATCCCAGCTCAGGGGACCCTCTGCTCAGATCAATCTCTGAGATGAGTCACTTGCTGCCTTTAGACTCTATCTGTCTCCATAGGAGCCCCTCACAGACATGCAGCCCACAGATGACCAGTGTCCCCTTCTGGGCACCAGATATCCCGTGTTCTGTCTTTTTCCTTTCTCAAGCTTCCTGGCATGAGTATGGCTGTCAAAGAGATGGGTTCCAGCTTGGCCCAGGGACCAGCATTACACCTACTTCTCTCTGCACTGAGTTCTAAGTACCCACTGGGCCTCCAGGGGTGGTCAAGATGGAAAGCTGAAAAAGTTTCTGTTCCTCAGTTCATTCTTCCAGTTACTTTGGGGAGGGCATGAGTGAGGGGCACTCCCTGGCTCATCAATGCTCAGCTATCAGGAAATAGACTGTTTCGCCAGCTCCTTGTCAGGGTTTCCCCTGGATGCTCAAATTCCAAGAACACTTCTGGACTCGAGCGCCTGGCTAGGCACCAGGCTCTGTAGCCTTGAGGCAACTCCACTGCCCTCAGGCCCAAGGCAGAGCCAGTCTACAGTGGCTCCTGGAGCCAGCAGAAGCCACCTGGTCCAGGATTGCTTCACCTCAGGGCTCTTTTTCACATGGGCCCTCCAGGGTCCTATCAGAGCGACTGTCTCCTGGGACTCCATAGTGGTAGCCTTGGTAACCGCTGGGCTGAAGCCTACCCTGGCACACCTGGTGCCGCTGTTGGCAAAGCCAGAGGGACCTTAGAACTTCGCTTCTCCCAGTGTACAGGACTCTGGTGTCTCTCCCTGAGAGGAGCCCCTGACTCATCGTCTCCAACTCTGACTCCCCGCTCCATGAGAGCTGTGTAACCCAAGTGACCCCTGCAAACCACATCAAGTGCTCTGACCCACGCTGCCTTGGGCTCCCAGCCTGCCTTCAGTGCTCCTGATCCTGTAGGCTTCTGTGGTTTCAGGATAGACTCGTCCCCCTTGGCTGGTCTGATAGCCCTTTGTTCCTCACTGCCCTCTGCATTTGATACAGGGCAATGCATTAAGCCATCCAGTCTCCAAGGAGTCCCGGATCCTTGCCTGGAGACAGCTGGGCAAAGGCTGTCTATACTCGTCCCAGAGTCCACTGCAGAAACCCCAGACCACCAAAGCCTAGGGATGACCAGCATAGCATCTCAGCAGGGTCTTAACCCCATATCTTTGACTTCTCTGGAGGCCTCCCTGTCCTGTGCTCCCCAGGCTCGGCCCTACCCATCCCTTTCCCTGGGTTGCTGACTTACTCTTGGCTTTCTCGTTCTTGCGTGAGGGCCGCCATCGGAGGCAGGAGCGGTGCTCATCCAGGTAGTAGAAGCGGACCAATCCCTTGGAGCTGCCCCGTAGCTTCACCATCTGGGTCCCCTCCTGCATGGCACTCATGCATCTCTCCACTAGACACAGGTGGACACACAACAGAGACAGACAGACAGACAGACAGACAGACAGACAGACAGACAGAAGCTATGAGAGCCCTGGTAATCTCACCTCTCTCCAAAGGGCCTGTGTGGTCCTGTCCAAGCATGAGACAGACTGGTTACCGCCCCTTCTCTGCTGGACCCAGACCCACTGGAGGTAGGTTGAGGCACCAGGGGAGACATTCAGCATTGGCCTGTCCCCCGACACCTGGCCCAGTCCAAGAAACCACTGAGATCCTAAGCTCAGACTGTCAAGCAGTTAGAGATGGAGACCAAAGGCCAGACTGGTCACCAAATCCACTGCACAGGGAGCTCCCAGACTGTACGCAAGGTGGACAAAGGCACTGTGCACTAATCTTGGCAGCTAGCCCCTGCCATGGGCCACTCCTGATGACTACTGCCCCTTCTGTGGCATCACCAGGAACATCACCTGTCTCATGGACAGCCAAGTCGGCAGGAAGCCCCGTAGGAAGGCACAAAGCTGGGAGGCTGAAGTACTGGGTTCAAATCCATAACCTACTCTTCTTCCCTTGAGCCACCTGTCTCCTTTATCAACTAGGCCTCCTGTCTCAGGGAAAGGTCAACATGTTCCAAAGAGTCCAGGCCAGACCCAAGCCTATCTATGCATAGGAAACCCAGGAGCCAGAGTGCCAAATCTCCTGCATGCCAACAATGAAGCATCCGCAGATGCGAGGTGCAGAAAACCACAGGTAATGCCAGGTTGGATGGCTTTCTGGAAGAAGCTCTTATGGGTCATAAGCAGAGGGGGACTGTAGGCATGGGTGGATAGTCAAGGTAGATAGGGCTCTCTAGAGAACACGGCCAGAGGGGATACAGGTATGGCTGCTCGGTGCATTTGAAGTAGGCTTTTCAGGACAGAGACAGGCTCCTGATATGGTTTGAGAATAAGGCAGCTAAACATGCACCATCTGCTGCTGGAGCAAGGAGCAGCAAGCAAACCAAGCATCCCTGACCAGGGCCTCCTCGGCTCTTGCCACACACTGGACCCTTCAACTGACCACCCAGCAGCCCTTTCCTTCTGTCCAGTGTCTCTCTGACCATCTAGAGACCATGGTGTCTACACCTGCATACCTCTATAACTACGCTGAAGGTATCATTGCCCCACAAAATTCCAAGGGTCCCCCTCAGAAAGAGCTCTGAAGCCACCTGAGCCACCCCTGCCCCTGCCTATCTCCCACCCCAGCACACACAACCAGAGCTTCTGGCTCCAGCTCTGCCTTGCCTCCCTCCAGCCCACTTGTAGTTCAGCCTCCAAGCTCTGGTAAGGAAGGGGAGAAGGTCTCCAGCTGGGGGGCAAGGAGGCCATGTTTCTGGGCCTGGAGATCCCAGAGGAAGATGCAAAGGAATTGGGATGTTGGTGTGGAGAAGGAGGGATCCCAGGACTTCTGCAACCCCAGAGGTAGCCTGACTTCCATAGGAAGCTATGCATCCCATGGCCCCATAGGGCTTGGCCAGTCCCCAGGAGGGACCTGGATTTTGCCCTTTCTTACCTAGAAGGCTGAGCTGCCATCGTGGTGACACCACCACACTCCCTCCAACCCAGAGGAGCACCTCTGCCAGGCAGGCCACGGCTCCTGTGGTCCGGCTGGCAACAGATGGCTGGGGACCAGGCATATCCAAGTGGTAGCTGGATGCTTTCTCCACAAAGCCAGGAGGGACCCTCGGCGACAGGCCAAGCTGAGGTGTCAGCTGGCACAGGGGGTCCTCAGAGATTCCCTTCTTTCCTCTACCTCTCTGTCTTCCTCCTTGGAGCCCACTGAAGCCCCCCAATGGCAGTTCCCAGGTCTCATTGGCATTGGCCCAACTGCTGCCTGTAGCCGTGGATGGTCCCCAGGCCAGTCCACCCATCCCTAGAACCCCCGAGGCCTATTTGAAGAAGATGAATGCCAGGGGTGGGGGAGCTGCCAAGCCCTTGCCCTGCCATCCTTGGCCAATCCGCAGAGTAATCCTGCTGGATTCAGCCCAGCTGGACAAAGGATTTAGGCCAGGGGAGTGCCAGCTGCCAGCTCAGAGCAGGCTGCTCCACGTCTGAGCCACCAGATTCATGTTTGAGGCTGAGGCAAGGTAATAGGTCAGACATGGGGCCCTCCTAGAACATAAAACAGCGGTTGCAGGACCAGGAGGCTTCTATGAGATACTGCTCCCCAGGAGGGTCTGTCTGTCCATAGATGTGGTCCTACATGGGGCTGTCTTCCTAACCCTGCCCATCCGGAGCTGATATCTGTGTGTCTCTCTGTTTAGAGCTCCCACTGGTTGAAGCCCTTGTACGTATAGGGACCTCCAACTTGATCCCCTCAGTGTGGTAGTGGGCTGGTCCTCAGGTGAGACAAAACAGCATGCTGTCCCAAAGTCCAGAGCCAAGAACCCAGTCCCCTTTGGCTGGAGGCCAGAGCTAAGCCAGCACAGGGCCACTTGCCTAGACCTTTCTACTTTGACCTCCAGCACGGAAAGGAGAATGTAGGTGCCCTGAGCCTTGTGCAGATTCCACTGCAAATTGCAGCCCTTCCCTAATCCCAGCTGCCTGCTCCTCACGCCCACCAGAACCAAAGCTGAGGAGATAGCCCATTACCCAGGGCATATTATCACTGTAGTCTACATTCAGGGCTGAACATATCTGGGCATCCAGAACCCACATAACAGTCTCCTGACAGGGAAGGGGGCCCAGGACCCAGGGAGGACCCAGGGAGGACCCAGGGAGGACCTGACACCCTGCCAGGACACTGACCACCACTCCACACCAGCCATAAGTAACTGCATAGGGTCATTGAGTATCTGAGACGCGCTCGTCACTGTATTCCACTTTGCATGGCTTACTTGGGGCAACCAGAGACGGGAAAGATCGTAAGAATGGGAGGTGGGGTTTCGTATCAGCTTCACTGCCTCAGGATCATGGGCACCCTGACTTCCTCCGTAACCAGGCTTGTTTCTGGCAAGCGACAGCACATCCTGGGAGTCCTTGCCAGGGGTCTCCACACCCCACAGCCATATTACCCCACTTCACAAAGTACCTTGGGTGCTCCCAGCCCACCCTCTTGACCCTGGCTTGCCTGCTCCTGTGTCCCAGACAACAGGAAACTCAGCCACAAGGAATCGGGACTCACTGAGCCAGATCCAATGTAATCAACTCACAGCCAAACCCAGGACCCAATTAGGAGCCTTGGCCAGAGGCCTTGCCTCGTTTGCAGGCTGGAGGTCGACAGGCAGCCTGCCCTTTCTGCCATAAATTAGCTTAAGGAACCATTTACTGCCAGGACAGGAAGGAGCACAGCCCTGGCACTCCTCAAGGAGACAGGCCACAGGAGATCCTGACAGCACAGTCACCCATGTAGGTGAAGCCCGGGCGGGATCCCCAGTGAGTAGTGGGACAAAAACTGGAGTTTAAAAAAAATCCAAGTATCAGAAAGACCATGGGGGCTGCTAAGGCTAGGCAAGATGGCACAGGTGTTCTGAATGCTCCAAGACCACAATTTCCATATTGCCTCCTCTCTCTAGGTACCCTACCTTTGGACATACCTGCTCTCCCTTTGTCTGGGCCTAGTCCAGTCTAGGGCCACCCATGCTCCCCAAATCTCTCCAGAACTGACTACCTCTTCCCTCTTCCCTCTCCATTTTTACCTACCCACCAGTTCCCACCATCAGCCAGGAGTTAGGTGCCCAGATGGTTCCAGAAGGGGCACAGATCCTGTGACACCAGCACCCCCAGTGGAGGACCCAGACCATTGCACTCCAGACTTCCTGACCCTCCTGGTGGCCCCAGGCCATAATCCTCTGCAGACTAGGCTGGCAGAGGCCCAGCTAATCCTCCTTCACACCTGGCTCTGGCAGTAAGGCCTCTGCCACTGTCCCGAGGACCAAGGTAACCCTGCCCACTTCTGCTACTGCAAAAGACGGGTGGACATGGCACTTTAGCCACTGAGCAAACCAGTACCTTAGCTGAGGGAGACTGCAGAGGACAAGGTACCATTGGGCAGCTTGTCCACAGTGTGGTCAAGCAGAGCAAGAGCCCGGGTAACTGGACTCAAGCCTACTAACAGCTGGACTGAACTTGACTACCTGGCCACCCAAGCTGAGTGGGAAGCTCAGACGTACACCCCCGACCCCTGGCACAAAGGGCAGCCATTCTTGGAAGAGTTACCTGTGATGGGTGGAAGGAGTGTCCTGCCCTCTCCAATGCCCCCAGGACCACAGATCTATACAGGGCCACCCAGAAGCCCATAGCCATGCTTAGGACACAGGTCCAGGGATTGGTAAAACTCCCACCTGCTGTCTGGGGGTTGATTAGGACCACTCTTAGAGGCAAGAGGTAATCAGTTCCTCATATTAAAGTCACAGAGGGACTCTGGGGCCCCAGAGTGCCATTCATAGTTAGGCTATGCTTAGCCACACAGGCTCTCCTTCGTAGCCAGGCTCTAGAGCACCCTGATCTCCCAGGAGTTCTGGGGTACCCTAGGGAGCCAACGATGTGCAGCTTCCAGAAAGTTGAAGACATTTACCATGGTCCTCACCCAGGATGGCTCAAGTAGGAGTTGTCTGTCATCTCCCCAACTTGACGCCATGTACCAGCTTCACAAAGTCTTACACGGAGAAGGAACAGGTGGATTTGGTTGCCCACCAGAAGAGGCACACCTCCCCTAGCTGCCCACCCTGAGGACAGGAAGCTCCTGAACTCTTCTATCCTAACTTCCCCTCCCCTACACTGACCCACACAGCTCCCCCACAGAATGCTACCTGCTCCCAAGGGTCTCCTCTCCGCTCTGTCTCAGCATCACCCAGAACCAGGCAAATGAGAGATGAGGAGGGATGGGGGTGACCAACAAGAGCCATGGCCTCTTAGTCTGCTGTGGGAGCTGTGGGCAACTATGCACCCAGGCCATACCAGCACTAGTGGGTTAGTCTCTTTGGAGTCCAGCTAGCTGCAGCCCAGGCCCAGAAGTCCTGGTGCTCAGATACACAGAATAGAAATACAGACAGAGAGGGAAGCCCTGAAGACAGAGAGAAGCCCTGAAGACGAGCAAGGCTCCTTGGCACTTTGGCCCCACACGGCTGGAAGACAACATGTCTCTCCTCAGCTTGGCCTCATAGCTGCTGACCCTGGTAGCCTGGCCAGGCAGCTGCTGGGACACAGGTGCTCCCCTAGCTTTGGTGTCCTTGTCACCTCTCTGCTTCAGTTCCCCTTTCTGATGAAAGGCATGTCCTCAAACCCCAGCTCCTCCTGCCTGGAGCCTATGGACACTGGCAGCTGCTGAAGGAGAAAGGCCCCGTGCTGTCCAGAGGCTGGTGGCACTGGTACCATGTCACTTCTGTGAGGGAGATCGATCTTGTCTTCACACAGTGGGTAACACAGCTTGATGACTACTGTGAGCAAGTGGACTTGCCTCTCCCTGGGGAGAGCCAGAAAAATCAATTTACTCTCCCAATAAACCTACAAATAATACCCACAGGCCTTGCCAAGCATGTACACACGCACACCGAGGGCACCTCTGGGTACAATGGTCCTATCCCACAGGCAGGATGGGACTTGCAGCTGTTACCTAGTGAGCAGGGCTCTAGAGATTGGCAGCATGGGATATTAGGGGATATTAGGGGAAGCTCCCTTCCCCCGCAGCTGTGATCCTCCCCAGGCTGCTTCCCAACCTGCAGTCCATCCCAGACAACACTTAGATGGTGCCTGGGGTGGAGTGGAAGAAGGAAGAAGCTGTCCTGCCCCAGCTCTACAGCACCCACCGGAATGAGCCTGGCCCCTGGTCCCGTGCCACTCAGGAGGGAGGGACAGGCCCACACACATATGGCCAAGCTTATTTAAACGTCTGAGAACAGCAACGCATCCCCCCCCCGCACGTCTGGGCGCCTCCACCCCAACTATTTTTACTGTATCAGAGAGTGTGAGCCGGCTTGTTCCTGCCCTCCCCAGCCAGACCGAAGGGGCTGTGTTTGCTCTTGGGGCACTTGAGCCAAAGCAGGACCTAGGGAAATCGCTCTACAGCAGTAGAAACAATAACCCCTGCCCAGCCTGAGGCTATCTGACCAGGTCTGAGGTTGTCCTGGGGATGGAACAGCAGGCTTGCTCTGCTGGGTGGATGTGCCCTTTTCCTCCAGCAGTGTCTGCCCCATGATATGCAGCTTTGGCTTCTAGCAGGAGGAGGCAAGTTCTATGAGAGGGGAGCCTGACCTATCACGTTCATCTGACCCTGGCTGAGCAGTGGGGCTAGCCAGAGGGGGACTGAGACAGGACACTCAGGCGTTGTTCTGCCCCATGTTCAGGTGCCTGGGGCAGCTGGTAGTATGAGCAACCTAGAGGGTAGAAACGGACTCTGCCTGGCCATCCACTATCCACTCCCCATACTAATTAACCAGCAGCTGACCTGAGCTGCCACCTTCTCTCAGAAGTCCCTACAGCTTGGGGACCTGGCCCTGGATGGCAGAGGATGGGTCCTGCCCAGCGAATGGCAGCCTGACCCATCCTCTGCTGGTGGTACCAGCTTCGAGATCTTAACCGCTACCCAGCCCAGAGGGTGAACTCACAGGGTCTTATTGCTGATCCATTAGCCAAGAGGAGTGATGAACCCAGGTTCAAAGCTATTAAGCTGTGTGTGAAGGGGCCGAGGGTCAGGAACTCACCTTTACAGCCACGGTAGCAGCAATTAAACAGGGCATTCTCAAAGGTCAGCAGTATCCACTGCCCAGTGCTTCTACTTAGAGATGTCCACACATGTTCAGGCCTAAACCTGGTACCTCCAATCCTGCCTCCAAAGGAAACAGACCGCCTGCAGTGGCCACAGGGCCCTGGGTCCTTTAACCCACAGAGGTCTCAACATTGGCTTCCCTCTGTCTCTGGCAGAGCTTGGGCT